ATTGCTCGGATCGGCGCTGGACCCCCCCTCCATAACGCGCGGAGCGCCCCAGGGGCGGCGCCGGAGGCGCCGCCAGGGGGCCCCAGCGCCGATCCGAGAAATCCGAGCGGACCTCCGAGTTTTTATGTTTATGGCATTGTTTGTTCCCCTACTGCTTTTCACGGCCCCCTGCCGGAGAAGAAACGGCCCCCGGAGGCAGAGAAAAACTGGCGGAGCACCTCGAGCCAGCCTGGCCCTTCCTGCGCTGGCTGGGGCACCAGGTGCGGAGCCGCCTCGGACCTCCTGACGGCTCCACGGTGGAGGAGGAGGAGGAGGAGTTATGTTGCCCCCATCGTACTTAAGGACCACATCCCAGAAATAATTTCGAGCACCCAGAACAGTATCGAAACAATGTCGAACGAGTATCGCCCCCCAGGGCCCGACACTTGAGAACCCTCAATCTTCGGTACTTCTGGTGGTCCGGTCGTGATTTTCTGCGATGTTGTACCGGGTTGGGATTGATGGGGTCGGAAGATCGCGCCGCATCGCCGATGCATCGGCGATGCATCGCCGATGCATTGGCGATGCACCAGTGACGCCGGCGATGCATCAGCGACGTCGGCGTGGAGGAAATCGGACTCCACATCGAGCCGCATCGCGGATGCATCGGCGATTCGGCGCGATCCTCCGACCCCATCTATCCGGACCCCATATGGGAGGCCTACACGTCGTTCATGTCTCATCGTGCTCATTTCTGATTGTGCCCGTCTCTGACTGTTCCTGGCCCCCCGGTGGCCAGGAAGAGGCCCAGGACAGAACAGTCAGAAGTGAAGGGACCTTGGCCCCACCAAAAAAAAAAGAAATCGAGGAGTTCCCGAGGAACTAGAGACGAGCCGCGTGCAGAGGGCGAAGGGATCTTGCCCCCAAGAAATTATGCTAACGGAGTTCCCCACATAAAGAGATTAACGGTTTCGTGGGACCCATTTTCTTGATGCCCTCCTCGCGACGCAGGAGGGGTGGGAGGGGCACGAAACCATGTAAATAGTATGGTATTCCGATACCCTCCTCGCTCAGGCGGGGCCTCCCTGGAGGGGTGGGAGGGGCACGAAACCATGTAAATAGTATGGTATTCCGATACCCTCCTCGCTCAGGCGGGGCCTCCCTGGAGGGGTGGGAGGGGCACGAAACCATGTAAATAGTATGGTATTCCGATACCCTCCTCGCTCAGGCGGGGCCTCCCTGGAGGGGTGGGAGGGGCACGAAACCATGTAAATAGTATGGTATTCCGATACCCTCCTCGCTCAGGCGGGGCCTCCCTGGAGGGGTGGGAGGGGCACGAAACCATGTAAATAGTATGGTATTCCGATACCCTCCTCGCTCAGGCGGGGCCTCCCTGGAGGGGTGGGAGGGGCACGAAACCATGTAAATAGTATGGTATTCCGATACCCTCCTCGCTCAGGCGGGGCCTCCCTGGAGGGGTGGGAGGGGCACGAAACCATGTAAATAGTATGGTATTCCGATACCCTCCTCGCTCAGGCGGGGCCTCCCTGGAGGGGTGGGAGGGGCACGAAACCATGTAAATAGTATGGTATTCCGATACCCTCCTCGCTCAGGCGGGGCCTCCCTGGAGGGGTGGGAGGGGCACGAAACCATGTAAATAGTATGGTATTCCGATACCCTCCTCGCTCAGGCGGGGCCTCCCTGGAGGGGTGGGAGGGGCACGAAACCATGTAAATAGTATGGTATTCCGATACCCTCCTCGCTCAGGCGGGGCCTCCCTGGAGGGGTGGGAGGGGCACGAAACCATGTAAATAGTATGGTATTCCGATACCCTCCTCGCTCAGGCGGGGCCTCCCTGGAGGGGTGGGAGGGGCACGAAACCATGTAAATAGTATGGTTTTCCGATACCCTCCTCGCTCAGGCGGGGCCTCCCTGGAGGGGTGGGAGGGGCACGAACCATGTAAATAGTATGGTATTCCGATACCCTCCTCGCTCAGGCGGGGCCTCCCTGGAGGGGTGGGAGGGGCACGAAACCATGTAAATATTCCGATACCCTCCTCGCTCAGGCGGGGCCTCCCTGGAGGGGTGGGAGGGGCACGAAACCATGTAAATAGTATGGTATTCCGATACCCTCCTCGCTCAGGCGGGGCCTCCCTGGAGGGGTGGGAGGGGCACGAAACCATGTAAATAGTATGGTATTCCGATACCCTCCTCGCTCAGGCGGGGCCTCCCTGGAGGGGTGGGAGGGGCACGAAACCATGGTATGGTAGGGGCAGGCGGGGCCTCCGTGGAGGGGTGGGATGTGATATGGTATGCTATGGTACGCCATGGTATGGTATGGTACGGTATGGTACGTATGGTGTGGTATGGTATGGTATGGTATGGTATGTGTGGTAGGAACTATGGTATGGTATGGTGTGTGTGGTAGGAATAATATTGTGCTGTATGGAAGATGGAGCGGGAGGTGGGTGGGAAGGAGAGGGTGTTCTGGGAAAACAAGAACCCCACTCAGGATGTGGGGAACAAAAAACAAAATCGAGGAGTTCGCGAAGAACTAGAGCCGAGCCGCGTGCAGAGGGCGAAGGAGGGCAGAGAGGGAGGAGCCAGGAGCGCCGAGGGGCCCGTCCTCGAACAGCGCCTCGAAGGGCGCGTCGCAGACGGGCAGCTCCTGCGGCCGCCCGCCGGGGGAGGGGGGGGAAGAGACCTGGAGAAAGGGGGGGCTGCTCCTACTCCCTCCCTCCTCCTTCCTCCCTCCTGCCTCCTCCTCCTCCTTCCTCCTCCTCCCCCTCGTCCTCCCTCCTCCTCCTCCTCCTCCCCCTCCTCCTCCCTCCTCTTCCTTTTCCTCCTCCTCCTCCTCCTTTCTCCTCCTCCTCCTCCTCCTCCTCCTCCTCGGGGGCCTTGGCGGAAGATAAAGATTTGGACGCCCGAAACGGGTACGGAAAGGATGGGTACGATGCCCAACAACAAGTGTTGTCCCGAACCGACAGCGGCCGCTGTTGGGCAGGCGGCCTTGTGTCTCGAATGGGCACAGGCCGCGGCGGCGTGGACAGCGAGTCCTGTTCAAAATGAACAAGATTCGCTGTTGGGCAATGTACCCATTCTTTCCGTGACCATTTCGTTCGTGCAGAAAAGAGCTGAGCAGGGACCGACCGTCCTGGCACTCCTATAGTCCTACCACGACATGTTCTTAGAACCCCAAAATGTTCGAAAAACAACAACAATGTTCTTAGAACGTAACCCGATGTGATAAAACAAGACAGACTCCGCCAGAACTGTTCCAAGAACAGTTCGTGGAAACCGCAAAAGGTTCTTAGAACATTACTTGGTAGGGCTATAGGCGAGCCAGGACGCTTCGCCACTGCTTGAAAAAGAGGGGGGGGACCTTGCCAGAAGACAAAGAGGGAGGACAGCTAACCGAGACATCCGACGATCTGACCCCTCCTCCCTGGCCTCGACTCGTAGAGGTCAAAAATCCCACCCCCACAAGAACCACCCCGACACGTCAAGTCGCTTAGTAAACGAGCCCAAAGAAGGAATCAAGCAGGGCACTGTTTAGTAAACGCCCCGGGCCGTTTAGTAAACGCCAGCTGTCCGGTCTGGGTGGTTTTTCCTCCCTTGAACTCTGGCCTCTGGGGCCCATGATCGGGCCCCCGGGGCCATCGCAAAACGGCTCCGAGACGCAGGGGAACCCCTGGGGAAAGGGCGGGGAGCTCTGGGACCGCGGTTCGGAAGTACCAAACATCATTAGGAGAAGAAGAAGAAGAAAAAGACGAAGAAGAAAAACCGGCATGAATAGAAACTTTCGACGGTCCGCACGGATTTCATTGACAGGGGGTGGCGCCGGAGGCGCCGCCGGGGGACGCCCAGCGCGGATCCAAGAAATCCGCGCGGAGCGCCAAACGTTTATGTTTATGCCGCATTTGTTTCAAATCATATCGAAGGATGGCCGGAGAGGGCCGGCAACGAATCCGTTCGCGCAGGCGGCATGGCGTTTCGCCCTGCGCTCCAGACTCGGGCCGCTGCGCTTGCACGGCAATCCGTCCCGACCCCACCGCTGTCCGCCGCCTGCCTCTTCCAGCGACGCTGGGCCGCAGGGGCGGAAAAGAGAAGCTCAGCCTGCGTGACGTCCAGATGTCCTGCGGGTCGGGCCTCGCCACGCCCCCAGGGGACCGCGACACGTCAGAACGTCGCTTCTACTTGCAGACTGTTCTCAGGTTTGATGTTGGAATCGATTTCTGCCGAGCTTCAAGCTTGAGCACCTGGCACTCCTCGGTTGCCTAGCCCCCCTCCCACTCTACGCGAACAGAAGCTTGACGAATCTGGGAAGACGCGGCCTCCAACTCCCTCGAGGCGCAAGTGCGTAGAAGAGAAGAGGCGTCCAGCGGAGGGGCCGAAAGCCTGCCGCACTCAGCACGTGACGCTCACAGCGCGAAGCCGCTCGGATCCAGCTGGCCATGCTTGGGCACGAACGAATGGGGTGCAATCAACAGGGGGGGCAGCGAGGACCGCAGAGAAGGAGCCCTGCAGGGCACCCGAAAGAGCCCTTGCGGGCCCCAGAGGGGGCCTGGAGGGCCCGACAAGGGCCCCTCTTCTCCCCCCCCGCCACCCTCTATCGTTAGGTCGGGCGTGTCCCCCTACAGGGGGATTTTGGACGATGATGTTGATGATGACAGCGATGCTGATGACGATGATGACGATGATGACGATGATGAAGGAAGCGCGGGGCGCTGTCTCTTCAAAGCGAGGACCCAGCACCACAAGTTGGTAAATAAACATAACCCAGCAACTCGAGCAACTCGGTCCTTGATGCCGCGAGAAGAGCGGGGTGGCTTATGGAATTCCACCCCACCCAACGAGTGGATGTCAGAAGTGTCCGTTGACAACGCTGACAGCGAATGTTCCCAGTGGGGAGACTCGGGCCACGATGCTGGAGTTTCGCGCAGAATCCCAAAGGGGGGGGCTGGACGAGGAGGAGGAGGAGGAGGAAGAGGAGGAGACGGAGGAAGGGGAAGAGAACATATGATGAGGAGGAAGAGACGGGAGGAGGATGATGAGGAGGAAGAAGAGGAAAGAAGGAGGCGGAGCAGGAGGAAGAGGAGGAATCGAGGAGGAGGAACAGGAGTGTCATAATTCTGTCAGGGAGTGCGCTGACAGCTCGCGGCGCCGCCGCGCGCCGCGCCGCGCCTTCACGGAGGCGGGCGGGGCCCAGTCGTCCATGTCCAGGGCGAACTCTTCGCGCGCCGAGCCTCGACGCGGGTGGAGGAGCACAGCGCGGCAGGAGGCTCCGCCTGTTCACCCCCTCCTCCTCCTCCTCCCTCCTCTCTCTCCCCCTCCTCCTCCTCCTCCTCCTCCTCCTCCTCCTCCTCCTCTCCTCCTCCTCCTCCCCTCCCTCCTCCTCCTACCCTCCTCCTCCTCCTCCTCTCCTCCTCCTCCTCTCCGCCTCCTCCTCCTCTCCCCCCCCTCCTCCCCCCCCCCTCCTCCTCCTCCCCCTCGTTCTCGTCCTCCTCCTCCTCCTCCGCCTGCGCCTCCCCCTCCTCCTTCTTGACACTCTCCTCCATCCAGACGCCCTCATCTTCTTTCCTCCTCCGCCTGCTCTTCCACCTCCTCCTGCTCCTCCCTTTCTACGCTGGTTTCCTCCTCCTCCTCCTCCACCTCTTCTTCCTGCGCCTCTTCATGCTCCTCCTCCCCCTCCGCCTCCTCCTCTTCCTCCTGCACCCCCTCCCTCTTGGCAAATTACAAACCCAGAGCTTATGTTCCTGTGCCTACTTACGACAGATGGCCCATCGAGGCCCGAGTTTAAGACAAGGCTCTAAGGAGCCCGATACATACTGTCCATTTTATGTAAGTCCGCGTTCCCGGGCGTATCCGGTTCCTTGTTGATTGCTCTGTTTTGTAGATTTGCCATGCTTGATGGTATCCCCAAATTTCCCTAGAGAGCCCCAAGCTCTAGAGGCTTCTTTTTACGTGTTTCACACGTTCCCAAGACGTTTCCTCCGAAACCGTCTTGGCTCAAGCGTTTGTATAGCAACGAAAGGCTGCTAGACTACTGACTTGCGGTCTGAACCGCAGCACAGCGAACTGGCCCGCTGACAAACAAATCCTGTGCAGTGTCATCGCGTGTCCAGCGAGATGGATCTTCGACCTGCGCAGGGACAACGGTGAGCCAATGCCGAGTTACATCAGCAAGGACAGCGAAGCGTACCGCGATGTGGTCAAGGGTTTCGACACTGAGTATTTCAAGCGCCAGGGGATGGAGCGGTTGTCGGTCCGGGCGAAAGAGTGGAACTCTCTCGATCAAGAGCTGAACTGGTTTCTCAGCCAGATAGTGTACGAGGGCCCGGACGATGCCGCAGACGAGGCCAAGCGACTCCACAATTGGCTGTGCAACTTCACCAAAACTGGCCTCGAGGAGATACCGGAACATCCTGACTTTGGCGCGAACTTCCAGCAGGCAGTCCCACTGTATCAACTACGCGACTGGCTGCTTCTACAGCGCTCGCGGCTAACGCCGACCGAACGCGCAGCGGTCATCAGCGCCATCAAAGGTAACTTTGACTATGAGAATATCGGCGAACGGCTGCGAGTATCGCGGCCGGATGACGAGCTGACGAACCGCGACAAGAAAGGGAAGGAACACCAAGGCCGTCATCGAGACCGCGGACGCGTTCACGCTGGATGGGAACAAGACGAAAAAGAACCATACGCTGAAGAGCAAATCTACTACGAACAACCCGAGACGTCGGTCGGCACCGAGAACGAGGACGACGACAAGCCGGAGGAGCCGCTCTACAGCGCTGAGGAGATCGAGCAGGCAGGGCAGGCCTTCGCCACTCAGAAGCGCAATTTGGAAGAAGCACGAGATCTCCTTCGACCTGTGAAGACAGCCCGGAAGTTCTACCCCGTGGATGAGGAAAAGAAGAAAGGTCACCGCGACAAGCCTTCAAGGGGGCGGCCATCTACAAAAAGTCCAAGGCCAAACAGCAAGCCGATTGACGAGGACAAGAACATCATCGAGATACCCGAAGACGAAGACAAGTCGCAGAGGACCCTGTCTGAAGTGCGGCGGCAATCACGAGACGAAGGATCACAAGCCGAAGAGCCAGTCTGCCGACCGCGATCGTGGACCGAAGAAGGGCTCCTCCTCGTTCGTGTTCTACAATAGCCAGCGCGACGCCGAGATGGAGGTGGCGATGATCAAGCACGACAGGTCGCTGCGCGAGCTAGAGGACACGCTGAGCAAGCCAGATGCTCCGAAGCGCTACGACGATAAGCTCCCGATTCTGGCCGCGCTGGAAGAGACGAACGACTGGGTGCTGGTGAGCGTGCTGGAGAGCGCCCACTTGGGCTTGGGCATCCTGGACATCGGCGCTACATCCTCCATCGCGGGCTGCCGTGAAGCTGCGCGATCTGATCTAGGACGCGACGGACAAGAACATTAACATGGGCACCTCACAGAAGATGAGGTTCATCTTCGGCGACAACTCCAAGACCTGCACTGGCAAGGCTATGCCGGTGTAGATGGCGACCTGGAGATGAACATCCTGGGCGCCGAATCTCCGTCGCTGGTCGGGGTGGGCGTGCCACGACGGCTCGGGGCCGTGATCGGCCGCGAGAAGGACAATATTATCTACTTCAAGAAGCTCGGTCGCCGAGCTCAGCTGCTCTCCCTTCCGAGCGGTCATTTTGCATTGCCTCCCGTGGCCGAAGCTGACTTCGGCTTCGCGGCGACCCTCGAAGAGGGGGTGGCGCCCTCGACGCCGATCGCTGCGCCGGTGCTGGAGGGTAAAACAGACAAGGAGCAGCCATCAGAACGCGAAGCCACACGATATCCCGTACATATGGACCCACAGGCCCGGGAAGCCCAAGCTGATCCTCCAGAGGCTTCCAAGACGAGTCCACCTTAGACCGCGGCTCCGGGTACGTCTTCGAGGCCTACATCACCATCGTTAACGGGATCATCAAGGTCACCAACAGGTTTCGGAAGATCACAAATGGCGACTCTCTTTGAATTCCGGATACGGAAACCTTTAGTACGTCAGAAACCGCATCTCCGACACAGATTTCGGCTACTCCCGAGAATACGATTACGTAAATCACTAGCACTTCATTAACATTAACATTAACATGTACTTCGGATCCCCAAGAGGCCGAGACACCTCCGCACGACCTACCAGAGATCCCAAGATTTCCTGGACTCCCTAGAGATTCAGATGCTCCTCCGTCCATGGCCATTCTGGCAAGAGCCGAATCTTCGAGCCCAGAGCTCAGCAATTCTCATCAACTTCCATATCCGCAGGAGCCTCAATCGCGAGGCGAAATGCCGCAAAGCCGAAACCCAGGAGGTCGGGGTCAGTGGTCAGGAAACGAGGAGATGAACGAATGGGAGCCAGTGGGCAGCAGTTCGCAGCGGACGCTCTCAGCGACCCAGGGGCGCCCGCGACTGTCTACCGGACGGCTCCCGGGTAAGTTTGTTGGCCGCGCGGGGGTGGGCGGGAAGAAACTGATGTTCGAGATCGAGGCGAACGTGACGAGGGACTCGGAGTTGTTCCTGGACGAGCACTTGCCGCAGTGGGAGATGTGGACGATGAAGCTAAATCAAGGCTAGTTCTGCACGACGAGATGGGGCAAGGTAATCTGCGAGGTCCTTCTGAATACCACCGAAAACCAAAACTGGAAGCTGGACGGAATGGGACTTCCCGCGCCGCTCCCCCTGGCAAAGTTCCCGACCTGGAAGCCAGACAAGAAGCCCAGCGTCAAGCAGGCTCCTGCTCCCAAGGGGATCAAACAAGAGACTGCAGCCGAACATGGAGCTTCGCGAAAGCATTGAGATCGCAAGGTCCGATTTCTGGGCGAAGTACCAGGACGTGGATGCCTTTGCGGGCATCGACACGGAGGAGATCTACAGGCTGGTCAGCATGATGGCGATCGTGAACCACCTCAAGCCGCTCTGCAAGCTCTACGAGCTGACGCAGAGTGGCCATCTGCGGCCGGCTGATAGTCTACATCCCCCAGCAGCTGGGCGACGCCAAGCCGACGGCCAAGGTCCAGCAGGAGCAGGAGTCGTCGATCAAAAGACAGGGGGCCAAGCCCTACATCCTGGGCTGCACGGTCAAGAGCCACTTCGCACTGGGACGCGCGGCTCCAGAGCGTCGCGCCCAGCGCGGGACCGCAGAGAACGATCCAATTATGACGGTCAACCCACGCGGCTGGTGCCGCAAGGTGAGCGCGAAGGAGATCACGCAGAAAGAATGGACGGAATTCATGTGGAGCGGGTCCGTTGGAGCCGAGATAATGGCCGACTCCTCAAGGGGCACCAGCGCCTCGCCATCAGGCCTGCGCCGCGCAAGATCAAGCCCGTCTTGTGCGGAGCCATGCGCGCCCTCTCCACCAGCGGCCGCCTTCTTTTGGTCGGCGCCTGCGCACCCGAGGACTCCAACCTCGGCCAGATTTGCGGGCAGAAGGGCGCGGAGTTCGCGCGGCTCGGACTACGCGACGACTTCAACCTCAGCAAGCCGCGGGGCGATCACGAGGCCAAGTACATGTTCGACGAGAATAGACCAGGACTACTAGTCAGCACTCCACCCTGCGGACCGTGGTCGGCCATCCTGAATGTCAACCAGCGCACCCACCAGCCGAGGGAATCTGCGGAAGACGCGACTGAAGAGCCAGCGGATCTTCGAGAACAGCGCGCGTCTCATCGAGCACCAAGTCAGCAACCTCAAAGGCTCGGCCATCGCCGAGCAGCCGCATAACAGCCGCTCTTGGCAGAAGACCTGCTGGAAGGATCTACACAAACTGCTACCCTACGAGGTCATCGTGGACGGATGCGCCTGTGGACTACGAGCCCCTGATACTGGAGAGCTCATGAAGCAGCGCTGGAAGCTCCTCACCAACAACAAGCACATCTGGGCAGCCCTTTAGCCACTTCAGCGTCGCGGAGGACACTGTCATGAGGAGATTGAGGAAGTAGCCGAGCCGAAGCCTCAGGAAGATATCCGAAATTGGTCCGTCGAAGAATCCTGAAGGCACTTACGCGCGACGCCAACTTGAGCTACCTCGACCAGGAGATCGTGCACTGCCACTGCTTGGCAGCTACACGGCAGCCCCCCGCGGGGCCGACCCTGGAGTCGACGGGGGAGCTGCTGCCACCTAAGGACGGGAAGGACTCCCTCGGCTTAACGAAGGAGGCGATCAAGAAGCTGGAGAGCTACGCGAGACTGGTCCACACCAATCTGGGACACCTTCCACGTGCCAATCTCATTCGCTATCTCCGAGATCGAGGTGCCCGACCTGAAGTCCTACGGGTCGCTCGCAACTGTAAGTGCGACACCTGCGACGCTCACCGACCTCCTACGAAGCGGCCACCGGCATCAGCACCAGAGCTACCGCAGAATGGTCACGAAGTTCTATGTGACGCCTTCTCTTGGATTCGTCGCAGCACGAACGCCAGCACTATGGCGTTCGCGGTTCTGGACGCGGGTTCCGACATTCTCTACGTGCGTTTGATCGACGAGAAGAAGATACCATAATAACTATGTCAAGTGTACAGGCTGGAGACCTACGACAGATTTTCGCCACCAAGTGGTTCCGATGGATGGGGCGCCCTCAAGTCATGCGCTGCGACCCAGCTGGCAGCGCAGTCTCCGACGAGTTCAGGGAGTGGGTCGAGAGCCAAGGCATCTACTGCCTCCCGTGCGCTGCTGGCGCACACTGGCAGACCGGGAAGATCGAGCGCGCCATCGAAGCCTTCGAGGATGCCCTCGACGCCATCGACGAGATGATCTCCCCCGACGCGCGCAACAGCGAGACGTCCGGCCTCCAGGCGGCAGCCCGCAACGATCTCACGAGGATCGAAGGCTTCAGCCCACTTCAGCGCGACGCCGGAAGGACGCCTGCGGGGGCGGCTGTCAACCTCGACGACGACCCGAACAATCTCCCGCTCATCCGCGCAACAACACGTTCGCCAGAGATGCTCAGGTACGTCGACTATCCCGACTGGCCCACATCCAGACCGAGAACACAGGTAGAGTCGGGAGGGCAGAGGCGGCGAAGTGCAGGTCCTTCAAGAGGTACAACTGCGGAGACTTCGTCTACCGCAGGCTTCCACCTGGAACCTGGAGGAAGAAGGAGCAGCCACGATCCATGCCCGGAAGAGGACGATGGTACGGACCTGGGCGAGTACCTTGTCACGAACCCGCTAGCTCTGGACACCGACCTGGTCTACCTGGCGCAGTCGTGAACATCGCCCTGGCAGGGCGGCTCCACCGAGTTGCACCCGGACAGCTACGATCAGCCACACCCTTCGAAGAAGCCACGGACGCGCTCCGATCTCGGAGCGAAGAGCCAGGCACCTGGACGGTCGGGGAGATACAGAAGCAACTCGACACCAACGAGGAGATCGACCTCACCAACGAGCCGCCACCGACCAGCGACGACCTCGCCTACGACGACGGGGAATCTACAAACGCTCGGACGCTCGGCACAGTCCAAGTGAACCCTTGGCCGGTGATGAAGGTGACGACAGGCCTCTGCCATCTCAAGGAGCACCACAGGTGCACGCACCTGGAGGCGGAGGCGGAGCCGCGTCATCGTCAGCTTCACGACCCGCACCATCACCACCAGAACCTACGAGACGGTTGCTACGGAAGACAAATCCGTGGACGCTGGAGGAGCCACAGGTGCCACTTATACAAGACGCACCACCAGAGCCACCACCTGGACTCGATCACCTGCTGAAGGACCACCTGCAGAAGAAGCTGAAGTGCCAGCCGAAGCCGACGAGGAAGCTTCAAAGATCGACCCCAAGGGCGCTGACATGGAGGAGAAGGGGCCTCACAGAAGCCATTCCCTGGCGGCTCAGAAGCTTGAGAACTGCGGCAGACCCTGAATCCGATGAAGCTCGATCAGGGCGACCTCAGAAGCAGACTGTGGACACCGACGAGATGACAGATCCCCCCGTCACGAAGTCCAGAATCAGCGCCGCAGTTCAGGAGGACTTCTCCTACTATTCGCAGGAAGGTAACTTCTACAGCGATTACGCTTACAGCACCCAGCAGTACGACGAGACCAAGGAGGAGGACAAGCTGATCGCGCTGAGAATTCCAGTTAACAGCGAGCACACCTTCATGAACTAGTTCGAGGCCCCGGGTCACTTCGTGGCCTCGCAGGCTCGCGAAGGTCGAGTGGAAGTTTCTTTCAAGAAGGCAACGCCAGAGGAGGAACAAAAATGCTACTTGATGCCCAGCAAAAGGAGCGCACCTCCGTTTTTAGCACCAAGGCCGTAAGGATCCTCAGCCGAAAGGGCATAGATCCAGCGCGTCGTCTACGCTGCCGTTTCGTGCTCACCTGCAAGAAAGAGGAACAAGGTGAAGCTCTAAAAGGAAAGGCTCGACTTGTG